CACTGAGGTGTTCTCATACATCTTCGCCAGCCAAGGACCATTTATTTGGCCGAAGCCTCAACAGATTTTAAGATTCACTTGGGCTCATTTGATTTACCCAATCAGAACTCACGATATATTACTTGGTAAAATCGTGGAGCTAGCTCGGTTGAATATAGAAATAAACGTGTTGCTAGCTTTTTCTCTGTAACGAGCTTACTGACCATCAAAAGAAAAAACTTAGTGCTGTTTTTAAGGGAAATTATGTGTTAGTTGCAACGAAGAATGAATCTGACAAGTCAACATGTTATCTGTTTACTAAAACGGTCTGCACAAATATTTAAACATTCCATAGTCTTTGTTCAAACGTGTCAAACATTCTTGACTCCTGATGAATCAGCGTAGAGGCTACACGCTGCCATTGTTTTAATCTGATGACCCCCGGGATATTCAAATTTATGATACAGCAACGCTGATTGGTAGCGCCAGCTTCTTGGCGCGCTCAATCAAATGACTCAATTTAACTGCCGTGAAATACAGCTTTTCCTAACATGATCACGCACAGGTTCGTGGGCTGGTTATAAATGGCCAGCTTTAGTGAAACCATGCGATCGGACGATGGTGTTCATAGTGCTTTGACATTCCTATAACTGAGGTATACATTATTTGTAAAGCATAATCCACATGTTTTCCAATTCTAAATTTAATTATCATTGTAAAAACATATTCTATATATTTTTATTGCAGTTAAGGCCGAGAAATCTTGTACCAATAAAAGAAAGAAGTTAGGAACATGACAATATACTTATACAGTTTGAAAAGGAAATCAAGACAGCTGCAAAAACAGTGCATGCCGGAGTTGGACATTCATCCAATACTCACTGAAGGGCAACTGTATTTCTATTTACAAAATTTTATTCCAGTTTTGCTGATAATACGGACATTTCGATTCATTTTGCCTTCATAGTTAGAATTTAAATACAAAAACGTGTAAGTCGTATTTAACCTGAATCCTATATCACATCTGAATACTACGATAGGTAATTTTATGGTAACAGTTGATCAGTGGGACAATTGAATTTCATATGTGCAAGTTTGATTTGAACACTGAATATAATTATACCACTCGGTTAAATAACCCATTGTTCAAGCTGTTCATTTATTAAGGAAAATACTGATTTTCTCAGAATCTCCATCAGAAATTGTAATAGCTCAGTCATTATTTTCTGGTGAAATAAATAAATCAGGTCTCCCTGCTGTGGTTTTAAACCTCTTTCTTAGCCAACTTTTTTCAATTTCTTGGAGGAAGAACTCTCCTTATCAATCCCAGACTATGCACCTCTACTAAAGCTGCAAAGTCTGATTTACAATAGCAGTTCACAAAATGTTAGTTATGTAGCCAAGACAATATATGTATATTACATGTATGAGAAATCATGGATATTTGGTTGTCAATTATTTAAAAAAATAGAATCAATTCTGTAAACCCACGGTTATGGTTGTATTTATAGAGAGATTGGTGCAAACCAAAATTGTAAATCTTACATAACTTGCAAGGTCTGAATTGATGAGGAAATACAGTTAATCCTCACTATTCAAAAAAGTTTTCCACAGGTGGGGTTCAAACAAGGATAGTTTCCAATACCCAAGCCATAGGGTATTTGTATGGAAGTATGCTACAAATGACTTTCAATGTCACATGGTTAGTTAGCTGGTCAAGTCGCAGAATGTACGTTTTTGTATTTCAGTCAATTAACTTTAGTTCGGCAGTGTCTTGCTTGATTTATTATTTACTTTGTGTTGCAATCACAACTCTTAAACATACCAACAAAATATTAGTGTTTAGGAGTAAGTTTTAACTCACACCACATATTGGTGACCCAGCATGATCTCGTTCTCCAACTTCGGTGACTTTACTCCAGTTTGGAAGGTTGTTCTTAAATAAACATCAGAATCAAGCAAAAATAGATTCTCACGCCAATTAGTAATTAAAACAAAACTTGCATTCAAACACGTACTAAAAATAAAACTACAGAAGGCAAATGTTTAAGCTGAATGTTGCATATTTCAACTAAACACATCTTCAATTTAGCTTGATTAATAGAAGACCCTTCATCCACGATGTCAATTCCTGTTTTTAGTTGCACAAAATTCTCAAATTTTGTTTCAATGGACATACAAGACCATGGATTTCATAATTTACCAATACCATACAATATTTTCATGTGTCCCAAATGTTTCTGGATGAAATATCTCCATGTCATTTCATACTGAATTACTTGGTATATGGCATACTTCGATAATGTACAATGAAATCTTTCAATGACAGTGTCTTCATTCTATTAATCACCTCCATGTGTTAACTGTGATAATGAACAATGAATCATGTCTGAGTGCTGTCATTTAATGAATCGTGTCTGAGTGCTGTCATTTAATGAATTATCTCAATGAAAGTGTATTCCCTGGTTGTGCCATGATAGCTAGAGTTTCCGGTGTGTCATCAAGTACTGGTGTCTGAGCCACTGCCGTAATCTGCATCTTCAGATTAATGTGTTTTATTTTCCAATTGTTCTGCAAACCTGGATCTTTAATTAACCCAAAAGTCTGTTCAAATACACCTAAACAGTTATTTCCTCGATGAACTGTTCCACAGACACACACCAAAACAAGACCGTGAGCATTCTCCATTCCTTTGACTCCATTAGGACCAATATTTGGATTAAACAGCAAACATTCATCTTTGGGAAATGCCAACAGTCTTTGTGCAACCAAAGTGTCTCCTTCAAACTCTTCTAAACCTCGTTCTATAAAAATTTTTAATTTGACATTGTGATAAAAATGCTGTGGTCCCCAAGAACTACTTGGTTGCTGCCCCAGTATTGGATTATAAGAGTTGAGCATTTGATAAAACCAAGTAGAAAACTGTTCAGCCATGGACTGCATCACGTTTACTGGAGACACTCGTCCATCTGTTGGTGCCCTGTGTTCCTGATGCATATCCAAGTCACCAGGTTCCTAGAAATAAGATGATCAATTAAACCTGATATTCAACTTCTTTGCATACACTATTCTAATGTGTGATTGTTAAAATGCTAGTGTTGTTCCACCAAGGTGTTAGAAATGTGTCTGATGAATGTATGATAATAGTAAGATTATTGTTGTTGCCATGGTTATAACTAAACAGATTAAAGCAATTTGTGGGTAAGGTACTACTCTTGTGTGCATATAGCAGTAACAATATAGTACAGATAATGTTTTTGTTTACTGTTGATTTTTTTTTAAAAACTGCCAACGAAATTAACAGCAAATACCATAAGGAAAATATATTTCATTGTCAAAAAGACACTATCATATGTTTATGGTGCATATCATTCACAGTAGTGACATTTACTGTGAATTATCACTAAGATAAATAATAATAATAATAAAACTTTATTGATATCATATCCTTTATAGGATCTTGAGTTAAATTACAATAAAGTGTGGATGAAAAAAAACAAACAAGAAAGACAATAAGATAAAATATCATAAAAATGATAACAGAAAAAAAAAAAAAAAAAACTTGCAGATATGCCTTGATATTAATATTGTTGTTTATTTGGATGAGAATGAAGGCTTTTTCATGTTATTTTCTCTAATTTTGAAACATTCGTAAATGTATTTAGCTAGTTTTATAATTGTTTTATTTTCATTGTTCATCATAGCTATCATTTTTTCTTCATCTGTCGTGTTTGGGAGTGACATTTTTGACTTAGGTCAATAGATAATTTATGCATCACCTAAATAATCACAATGGAGAATCAATATGTACAACAGTAGTTCACCAAAAATATTCACTAATCAAAGAAAGCTTAGAAAGAACTCCTGTGTGCTGATAGTATTGGAGACACATTAAAAATTAATTGATAAATGTGGCAATGTGCATGTGTGTTCTTGAGCAGTATGCAGAGAAAACAAAATCATGGAATGGTACTGTTTTTATTGCTGTGATATGAGAATTTCAGACTGGATAACAATAACTGGCATGGTGCAATAGTGATGACTGATAGTTTATTTTGAAAAAATATTGTAAAGTAGGGTAATATTTCTGTTGATTTTGAAAATCATCGGTGGCTGTAAACATGTCTAAATAGCTTATCAATCACCTAATATCACTTTTTCATAGAGCTGGTTGACACTCGTGATGTCACTTTTTTTAGTCGCCTTCAGTCCAAGGATTATACACTAGCGCATGATATCACTCAAATCAACCAGCTGTATCAACAAGTGATATCAGGTGGTAATGTCATTGTAAAACCATCCTTGTAACAAAATATGTCACACATGTCAAAACAACAAATATGAAAATATTTTAACAAGCAAAACAAACAAACCTCTTTGAGGTCCACATCACGTAGAAGTTGGACTTGTGTTCCCCAATGTTCCATAACTTTGCGTATAAGACATGGTTTATCAGCGGTGGGCAACACATGGATGTTATTACTGACCAAGTACTGGAAAATATATTTGTGTTTCAGCTTCTTTCTGCGTAATAACTGCACAGCACTCTCACTGTAATTAACAATGGCACTGATTGCTTCTGTAATGAAGACGCACGCAGATAAAATAATTCAAGGTCAATAGATAATTTATGCATCATCTAAATAATCACAATGGAGAATCAATATGTACAACAGTAATTCACCAAAAATATTCACTAATCAAAGAAAGCTTAGAAAGAACTCCCGTGTGCTGATAGTATTGGAGACACATTAAAAATTAATTCAAAATTACTTGAACTTGAGATATTGATGGAAACGCAGAAAACTAATTATGCAAATAAGGTAACTAATATGAACAGATTTAAGTGTAAAACTAACAAGGTCTGCACAATGTACCAAGTTTCATTGAAATGTGATTAGAACCAAAAAAATTATTAATTATTATGCTAATTAGAATATTAATACAAGTCATTGTCAATGACACGTCCCCGTTCTGTTCATATTTGAGTGACATATACATTCAAAGCAGATCATGACCGAAATGCATCTGCATATGTACAACACATTGTACTAAATCTGAACAAAATCCATCCATGCATGACTGAGATCTGGTTCCGGAATTGTGAAAATACGTGATTTTAATGCATTTTCGGTCTTAAAATGGCCATCACTCAGCTATTGTTAAGCGGATCATGAAACAAATGCACATATCTATTTGTGACATGATGCACCATGTGTGTGTGAAGTTTGAACTTGATCAATCCAGACATGTCTTGGATACGGATCCAGAACTGAATTCTTTAACAAAATGGCCGCCAGTCGGCCATTTCGAACTTGATCCGGAAAAAAAAATGACGTGCATCAAGGTCCTATTATGTTTAATGTACTGTATGTACCAAATTTGAATGAAATCCGTCAATGCATAACTGAGATCTGGGTCCGGAATGGTGAAAATGTGCGATTTCAATGCATTTTTGGCCTTAAAGCAGCCGCCATTTGGCTATCGTTAATGGGATCATGAAACAAATGCACATACAT